GAACGGATTAATCATTTTTACATTACTTCTTATGGGAAAGGTTGGTTTGGTATACGTCCAATTTGGTATAAGTCCAAACATCGGGAACGGAATAAGGTCGTATACCGAGGTTCCACTGTATTCCAAATTTTCTCTAAACGCGAATTAATAAATTATAACTTAGACGATTTGAATTTAATGTTTAAGAATTCGAGAACGACGCATCTGTTAAATTTAGCGGCTTAAAAAATGAACTTTATCACTCGATTATAGAGAAAGTTTTTTACTATAGTTTCTGAACCTGTTGATAATAGGCTACTGATAGGATGTCAATGGAAAAGACAATCAGAATATAAATATTAATTCTTATCGCTATTTGTATATTAATAAAGTGTACAGAATGTAATTTAATATTAATTATATTAAAAACTAATTTTAATATTCTAGAATGGAATAACTACGGTAGAACTTCCATATAAGGAATTGCTTCCGATAAATGAGGAAACTAGTTAAGCGGAAAATGCGCCGGTAGTGAAAATACTGTTTATTGTAATAATGTTTTATTATTCACGGTCGCATTCGTTAACAAGCTGTTCAATTTACAGATGTGTTAAAGTGATAAACGAAACAAAATATAGGATGTTTTCCAACAAAATTAATTAAGAAGTGTCTAATTTTCTAAAGATATTTTATTTAAGACAATGATTTGCAATTTGTTTCAATATTTATCATTCTCCTCAATCATTCCTCAAAGACTCGATACCAAATATTTAAGAATGTCTTTTGGAATAGACAAGATTTCACCTTCGTCAGTTGTCTCCATCTTTTTCGAAGACTTTGAAATGAAAGTTGAAAATGTTCAAGGCATACCGCGGGGTTAATTAAATATACAGAGATAAATTTTATTTATAAATATTTACGAATGAATGAACAAATCTATTATTGCAGTGCATTATACACAAAATATATCAAAGTATCATGTTCAATTATACAGAATAAAATTTTTTGCTTTATTTCTAAGTAGGAAAGTACACCCAACGTTTGAGAATGTCACGGAGAGAGTCGAGTTTCCTTGTTATTAAGTATATGTTTTTCGCAGGGTGGCGGAGAGTAACTTTGGTCTCAATAAGTCAAAGTGTTTGGCAGTTTTTGGGGAATGAAATCAGGAGAAAGAATCGGAGTCAGCGATTGAAAGTAACTTATAATTTTCGGAGGATTATAGAGACTAAGAATGTAAAGGTTTTCGAGATCGCTTAAGGTCGAGGAAGTGGAGAGATAAGAGTGGTCGTGTCGTATCTCGAATAGGGTCGGATTTAATGACCATTTTACTCGTTATTAGCATTTACAATTTTTTTTTTTTTTATAAAACTTGTCCCTACCCTGAAAATTAATCTTTTTGTCATTTTATAACGGTTAAAAATATGAAAAGATTTTTAATAAAATACGATAACAGATGACGCCATCAAAATTTTAAATGTTGCCGGGAAAGTTGAACAACTCGTTGCTGGTTTATATAATTAACGAATGCGACCGTCAGAAATAAAATATTATTACAATAAACCGTATTTTCACTACCGGCGCATTTCCACTTAACGAATTTTCGCATTTATCGGAAGCAATTCCTTATATGGAAGTTCTACCGTAGTTATTCCATTCTAGAATATTAAAATTAGTTTTTAATATAATTAATATTAAATTACATTCTGTACACTTTATTAAT